TTTGACAACCACCCATATGGTATATGGGGACTCAGATGGAGTAACATCGGTGACTGTTCCGATACAAAAAAGATACCCCGAAACCGATGCCTCCATGACGACCGGCGCAGAAGGCAGTGGCAGCTGGGGACAAGTCTTCAGAATACCGATTCGCACTGTTTCCTGAAGCGTTGCTGGCATGTGTTCCGTGTGTTTGTCCCAGCTTAGGCACGGATTGGGCGCAAGGCCAGAGTTTGAACCCTAAACGTAAAAACCCTAAATCCGAAACCCTACGTTCTGAAAGTGCAGCCTTCCGCTTGTCATTCATGCTTTCAGCTTGAGCCGACGTGCGAAATTTTGAGGTCTGCACAGCTTCCACAGGTATACCCTTGTTTTAGTGGGATATCCCCAAACCCTATTCCAGCTAAAACGGTCCTTCTACCATGCCGCTTCTGCAGAAAGCAAGCTACAAGGATCAGGACGGTAAGCATTGCGGCCGGCTGGCTTGGACACATCGTGAAGCGGCTTGACAGCACTACACTCAAGCAGGCTGCACACAATCCGACACCCGACAAACCTTGAGTAGAACCCTTAAGCCGTAAGCCCTAAACCTTATATCCCAAGCCCTAAACCTTAAATCCTAAACCCAAAATCCTAAACCTTAAATCCTAGACCCAGAACCCAAAATCTGAAACCCTAAACCCTATAACCTTAAATCCAAAGCCCCAAAAGGCCGAAGACCTCAGCCCTGCCAATTCAACTTACACATCCTGAGCACCGCTCTAAACATCCCTCAACCCCCAAACACTAAGGGCTTGGGGGGCTTGAGGTTTAGGATGTAGGGTTAGGGTGAGCTCTAACAGCCGTGAACCACAAACCCAAAAAACTCTGTACACCATGAACCCTAAACCCGAATCTAGGGGCCTTAATAATTACAACAGGGTTTTGGACGTCCTTTATAGTAGAATTATAATAAGGAGCCCCCCAAAATTTAAAATAATCTATAATTATAGAAAGGAGCACCCAGAAATAATATAGGTAGTTATTGAACCCTAAACCCGAAATCTCCGAACTCCGCCAAACTCACCACGCGAGCTCTGCGCCTCAAAGATCTTCGGCCCTTTGACAGGGATAGCAACCTGGATGCGTCGCTTTGAAGCTTGGTCCTTTGAACTTAGGGGTTTAGGGTTTAGGGTTTAGGGGTTTAGGGTTTAGGTTTGGGGGTTGAGGCTTTACGGATTTAGGCTTTACGGATTTAGGGTTTGCGGATTTAGGGGCTCGGTGGTTTAGGCTTTAGGTCTTGAGTCTATAGAGGGTCTCATACGGTGATAAAATGTTGGCGTTGATATGATTGATATGTTGTTTCAGCATTTAGGAGTTCCCCAAAACGAGGGATGCCTTATCTTTTTTTGGGGGTAGCCTGAACATCAAGGATTCTGCTATCTACGGTCTATAATGGGGCGCCGTTGCTCTGTAATTACAAAGCACACACCCAACACTCCCAACACGACTGTAGCACATCGACCACATCATCTTTCTATACATACTGCTCCAGCTGGGGAAGTCAGGAATCTGACTGAGCAGGCTACATGGGCATGAAGCTCAAGGGAAACAACGAATCATGCTTCGTGCCAGCGTCACTTCCAAGAGCTCAGAAGCTTGCATGCACACTCCTAACGCCAGACAAGTCGCGCTCTCATAACAACAGTTTGCATGCACCTCGTTTATTTTTAAAGTACTCAGTATATCTTAGGGTGCACCATATTTAGAACGACCCTCATGTACTGCTCCAGGACAGCTGTAAGTGCCTCACACACGCACTCGCCTTACTACACCATGCAATTTAGATCACGCAAAACCATGGACAGTACGAGAATTTCAGAAAACGGGGACGCAAACACAGACCGAACACAACGGGCTCCTTACATGAAAACCCAAACCCTCTTGTAAAGCCCTATAGAACCCAGAGAACCAATATAGACTAGAGGGCACACTTTCATACCCCGCCCCCGGTTAAAGCCTCTACACAACAGTAAAAAGTGGGATGTCTCTGGCGCATAGCCTCCGACAACTCAAGGCTTTTGAGAGGTTTGAGCTTCGGGTTTAGAGCAAAGTGTTCAAGTCCGAAAGTCGTAACACATCAAAACCCTTCAAGCCGTAGAGCCCGAAACCCTAAAAAGCCAGCACTCCAGGGAGGTCCCAGGCCTCAACGAAGGGACAGGAGAGCTCAACCTCAAAAGTGCCATCAAGGGCTTCGCAGTGTTCGGATTTGACATGACGATGGCCATGACGATAATGATGAGGATGACGGTGATGGTGATGGTGATGGTGATGAAGCTGCTTGCAAGACATCTAATCAGCTGCAGCTGTTCCAATCGAGACGACTTATAACTTATGTCCCTTCCGAAGTATCAGTTTGTACTGCTAGTCCACTTGCCGACAACATTTCTACTCTTACGACTCTTTCCCAATACTCTTACTATTGCTGGTGCTACTGCTGCTGCTGCTGCTACCTGCTACTCCTACTCCACCTCCTACTCCTACTACGACGACTACTACTACGACTGCAACTACTAGTACTACTAGTATACTACTGAGTACTACGACGACGACGAACGCGATTACTCGCGCTGCTGCTATACTGCTGTCGACTGGTGCTTCTACGGCTACTGCGAGCTACTCGTGCTGTGATCCATCTGCCACTTGCTGCGGCGACTATCGCACGCAGTTCCACTACGAAGAATACTCTTCAGTAAGTACACCATAGTTCTTGCCTAGTTAGTTGCTGCTGCCTTGCGTTTATTATGCCGGTTGCTGTCTGTAACCAGTTTGGTGCCACCGCCATTCCTGAGTTGCACCAAAATCTGCTCTCAGTTTGGTTCAATATCCGGCTATTACTCTTATTATTCAAATCATGAGAGCTTTGTTGAGGTTTGAGTTGAAATGATGTCTACAGCTTACGGGAGGACGGCCTACTTACGGGTGCAGAGGTGCGAGATTGCAGGTCAACTTTCGCCCAGCTCCCCTAAACCCTAAACCCTAAACCCTCAAAAACAAAAACCTAAACCCTAAACCCTCAAAAACAAAACCTAAACCCTAAACCCTGTAGCAGGATGCGGAACACAAATATTGACACTGACACTAGTAATCATAATCATCATAACAATACTAGTAACTTACTAGTATTGACAACTATTGCCTCCTGCCTCAACCCCAAGTTGCCCCGTTCGGCATTCGCGGCCTGGCGCTGCTTCGTCAGCTTGCCTCCCATGGCCTCGTAGATGCCCACGTACCTCAGGCTTAGGGGTAGGGCTTAGGGTTTAGACGGTTTAGGGGTTAGTTTTTTGTTGCTTGAGCCGCTTCTCTGGTTTAAGGTTTAGGGGCAAACTAGCGGTGTCTGCAAAGGCCTGAGTCGTTGAGGGTGTAGCCAGCAGTAGAGGTTGCAACTTCAGAAACTAGTGGAACCCTCACAGTATGATCTTTTGAGGAGCCCTAGATAAAGTACCCACATATGAACCCTTAGTTCGTTGGAGGCCTGAAAACTTCAAACCAAAGACAAACCAATATAGGGACCTTAATAATGAGAATAGGGATTTGGGGCAAGGTATCGGATTTTGGGTCTGAGGTTCGGCGAAAAGCCCCCAAACCTTCTGACGCGGCCCCGTGGCTCCGCATCGTCTCTCTCTGTGCTGTTGGAGCCCCAATCGTGCAGCTGGGTTAGGAAGTAGTCACGCTCCTCTGATGACCAGAGAACCGCAGCACTCAGAACTGACAGAACTGGGCCTCATGACAATTAGAGCTGGGGATTTGCACTATGTCGCGCGAGAACACTGTGGGATCGTATGTGACTTTGTCTACGATGTATGTAGTGAAGCTCCCATATCGGGCGGCCTGTGAGACCAATGCAGTTGCTGCTGCAACCTATTCTACAAGTGAGCTTCAATCAACATGCACCGCCGGTCGCGAAACTCTCCACTGCCGCCCTGGATTTCCTAGTCCGTGCGCTCAAAGGCCGGAAACAAAGCCACCCAGCTTTCTTAATCGGCCATGAAGCTGCTTGATGCTGAGCCATCGAAATATAGGGGCCAAAATAATTAGAATTAGAATAACCTTTTTCAGTAATATCTGTAAACTAACCGGCCCCTGTACTCAACCCTGGGAAGCTATTAAAGTGACCGACCCCGACAGCCGGGACTTGCTCAAACGTGGATTTCAACAGCCCCAAAACTCTGGTAAGCCCCAAAGACCCCACACCGGACCCTACTAACCCGAAACCCAAAGCCGCTCAGCCGAAGGAAACTCAGGTCTTTGAGAGGTTCGTGTTCTCTGTGCGAGTGGTCACAAGGAGTCTCGCCTAAGCCCTAGGGATGTAAACCCCTGCCCACCCTAAACCCTAAACCCTAAACCCTATCGACCGTCCTGATGAGACAGAAGAGATCCCCAGCTGTTGATGGCTTGGTGGAAGGACGCCAGCATCAAAGTGCCTTTGAGACGAGCTTCGGTGAGTGACAAATTGGTGGAGGTTCTTAGTCTTAGATTAGGGGATGCTCCAAAGGTTCTCTCAGCGTTTTACCGGGTCTTATAGGCATCGGAGCGGAGATCTCAGGCCGGCATTTTGTATGACATGTCCCAACATTCGGTGTCTGGTGTCCAGTGTACCGTCTTTTCTGAAACCCAAGTTCGAAAACTTTCCCACGACACAGTGCGTGCAGTTCTTAAGCAAGCCTGTATGCTACTGTATGCGCGTAAGGGTCAGCAGGGTCGCCTTTGTACGGAGTCGTCGTCATGGGGGAAGTGGTGGTGGCAGCAGCGGTGGTAGTGCAAGCTAGGAGTAGTCATGGCATGGCATGACAAGCACCGGCATCAACTTTCATGTGCCTCTCTTCCCTGAAACTTAAAAAAACACGTCGCGGATGTGTCTGCCTTTCCTGCCTCCTGCAACACGCACAAGATTTCCAAGGTTGTCCACATCGCTAACAGCTCTCCGGTTGAAGCTTGGGGTGCCCAGACCCTGTGCATCCAGCAGTTTGGACGACCTCTGCCTTCAGCGACTTAAACCATCAGGCTGAACAAACAAGCTCCGTTTTGGGCCTTTTTTTGTCAATGGGGCTTTGGGGGTCCATGATACTATAATTATAATAAAGGAACCCACAAAGTGGTATAGGTAATTATAAATTTACACCCGAAGCCTCCGATAGCCTAGTCCAGAAATCCCAAGCTCTTCGATCCCCTCTCCCTACATCCTGAACTCTATTTAGGTTTCTAGGTATAAGGTTAAATGAGGTTTGGGGTTTCGGTATGTCTGAATCCGCACCATAAATCATAAATCCTAGTCCGTGAGCTCCTTTATTATCGAACCACGAGACCCTAAACCCTAAACCCTAAGAGCCGAGATGCCGTTGAGCTTCAAGACCTCCCGCACTTCGAGGAGACCTCCTTTCCAATGGCGCCCGACGTGTAAAGGGTCTACTAAGGGTTCAGGGATTAGGGTTTAGGGTTTTGGGTTCAGGGTTTAGGGTTTGGGGTAGGGTATCACTTGAAGGGTTCCTTTAAAAGGGCTCCATACACAAGTCTTTCTATAGGGGGGGCACCTTATAATAAGGATTAGCATAGGGTTTCGGGGTACGTGTGTCGGGGTATACCACAACATGACTGTGTTGGGACGGTAGAAAGATACTGGCATAACGAACTACTCCGACCCCTGTGCAAATTTCTGTGGTTCCTTCAGAGTTTATTTTAGGTTTCGGGCCTGGGATTTCTCGGGGATTTTGGGACTTTACCTGGGATCTGCACAGCAGCTGTGCCCTAAACCCTGAAACCCTGAACCCCCTGAACCCTAAACCCCTAAACCCAAACCTCCTAAACCCTAAACCCCTAAACCTTAAACCCTAAACCCTAAACCCCTAAACCTTAAACCCTACAGTACCATTCTAGGCCTCGAAGGCTGGCGGCCGATAACGTCGAAACCGAAAGATCTCTTGACCGAAGGCCCTAATTAGCCCTGAAGGAATGTCGGAACCTGATCAAGATATCCCAGTCCTTTCAGCGTTTAGGGCTGTCGGGGTTGAGGGTCTAAGGGCTTAGGGGTCAGGGCCGGTTTAGGGCCTCGGGTTTAGGGGTTTAGGGAGGCTAGTGAGGCACAGGCTCCAACGATTCGCCTCTCCTTTCCTGAGTCTCGGATATCCAACAGTCAGTTGGTGCAGGCTTTTCCGGCTTTAGGGTGCAGGCTTCACAGTCTAGGGGTTCGGGTTCAGGGTTCGGGGTTTGGGTTTGGGGTTTGGGTGTTTGGGGGTTTGGGGGTTTGAGGGCTTCAAAACTTTAACACATTAGCGTTAGGGTTGAAGTGTGCAGCCTGCAGTGCCGTTGTGGGCCGTCCAGGGCGGACACTCACCGCGCAGGGGAGCATGGAAGCCATAGTTGCCTTGGGTGTCAGGCTTTAGGGCCTTAGGGTTTACAGTTAAAAGGTCTGTTTCATGCGTCTACACATATCTTTATAGAGGTGTTATATGTTTGTATATATATATATGTATCTATGTATATCTCTATATTATATTCACATGTATAGAGTCTATAGTATAGCTGTCTCTTTCTCTCACTTAAGTATATGGTTTTTGCAACGTTCTACCTTTGCGGGATGCCACATGCAGATTCATAAGGGCTTGCGGTAGGCTGCTCGGCACTATAGGGATTTTGGGCTTGCGGCGTCTGTTCGAATTCTGGCTTGTCCCTGGGTTCATGCCATGGTTCAGGCCAAAAGCTTGACATGGTTGGTCTGCTTGCTTGCTTCCGCATGTCAGCTGGAGTCGAAAATGAAGCAGCGCTGCCGAGACTAGGTGACTAGCAGGCGCGCCTTCTGCGCATGTGTAAAGAAAAGACTGGAGCATGCCAAGGTGAAGTAGGGCACTCCTACGCCCTGCTACACTTCAAAATCCGAACTGTTTGTCAGTGCCCACATCTATCCAGATCCTCTCTGAACTTCTCAACCTCGAAACCACACACTGGGTCACCGTCGAATGAAAGCCTAAATACATTCAAAAACGTTTGGGACTGGGCAGGGGATCCGACATAGACTTCTATCTTGATTATAGCAGCATGTAGTCAAAGGGTCGACGTACTTATGTACATGTGTATTTATGTATGTAGGTATGTCTGTTTGTATGCATGCATGTATACATAGGTACATGCATTCGTATGTAGGTACATACATACATACATACTGCATACATACATATTCATGTGACAGCCAGGAATGTAAATAGCTAGTCTTGCGCGCTGACCCAAATCAAGCAGAGTGGCAATGCTCCACAGGCAGGCAGACGCCTTCGCCTCGACAACAGGTAGCGCGGAAAACCCATCAGAACGGAGTGTACTATGGCTTAGGGTTTAGCAGTGTGCGGTTTAGCCCTGACGCTAAACACTACCAGTAGCAAGTTGGTGGATTTCGGGATGAATCCGCACCCCAAAATCCTAAACCTGAAGCCCTAAGCTCTACAGCCCTAAGCCCTCAACTGTTTCAAGCAATCCTGATTCCACGACGTCCTCTTGGACTCTGTTCTGGGCTCTTCTTGATTGTTCGAAGTTGCCATGCTAAGGGTAGCTTACACGATCGAAATAGCACTTACTGATGCTAAATGTCTTCCTCGTCATGGCCGGCTTAAACGATAGTGCCGTTGCAGACAATACCTACAGTCTCCATTGTAGTTCTTGCTCTTGGTTAACCAAACTTATACTATAGGATCCGAACGTATAAAAAATTTGGCTACCCCCAAAAAAGGGACTAGAATGGAGACTATAGGCGGGCGAGCATACAGGTTCTAGATAGCAGTTCAGAACAAGAGCAAGATCAGGCATAGGGCCCCACATAACCCCCCTTATAATGAAGCCCAATAAGGTATATAGGGATANNATATCCCTATAAAATGCTTATGCCTACGTTCTTTTTGGGTTCCTAAGGGTATGTCTCCGGCCAAGGCACGGTGAATTGGCCGAGGGCCACAAATGTCGGGGGAACGGGCGTTGCACGTCTCCTGCACTGGTTTCGCGAGTTAGGCATGCTAAGAACACCGAATACCAAAATCCTAAGCCCTCGAACAGCTTGTTTCGCTAGGTTAGGGCTCGGTTATTATGTCGAAAAGTTCATCAAAATGAGGANNCCCCCCCCCCCCCCCCGCCAAAGCAGAATGGATCATGATTTCAGTATTAGGAACCAAAAGCAGAAGCGCCTCAAAGATCTGACACCTTAAGACCTCTTACCCCAAATCCCTGATTCAAGCCAGTCTTCTTACATGATTCTCTCGGATAACATAATCGCCTGACTCGTTTGACTAGGCCATTCTAGCACCACTATGTTGAAGTCGGTGGAAATTTCTGGTCAGTACGAGACTTCTTGTCGCGATTGCGATTGCAGCCATTGTGAGCCGAAGTCCTGCAAAGCAAAGCAAAAGATTCGGCCGGAACATCGGCTTCTTCTTTACAGCCGAGAGTTGGAAACTGCCGATGGATTGCGGCTGGCCGGAAGCTCGAACTTAATTTTAAACAGTGCTCATAGGCCTCCGATGACCTCAATCCCTCGCCCCAAAGCCGCCGCAGCAAAATCATGCAGAAAACCAAATGATACCACTTCCATGTCAAACGGCCAAGCCTGTCGCGCTCGAACCGACACCCACTGTTGCCCTACATCCCTGCCACAGAAGTCTCTATGCATCAAACTGCAGGAATTCACGTGTCAAAACAAATGCGGTCCCAGTTGGTGCAGAACAGCCCGCGGTCGGTGCCGCAGTCTTTGTGGCCTAAGCTTCGTTCGGAGAGTTGGGCAACAGCAACCCTGAAGATACCTGCATCAAGAATCATCGTCATTGCATAATGGCTCAAGCTGCGTAGAAATGGCTGGCTGTTAGGGTGGAGAGCGATTGCAGTTCTGGGGTTTGCTTTTCAAACTCTAATCTCCAAGCCTCAAACGGCGTGCATAGTGACGGAGCATTCGTTTCGGAAACCTCGTACTTCAACGTTGTCCTTACGCTGCCGACTGCCCGGAAGATGCATAGAGCTTCGCTGCTGAACATAATTGCTTTGACCAACATACGGGGGTGAAACATACTATAACTATAAGATGGAGCTCCCAAAATACTATTGGCATTTATTTATATACCCTTAAATATACTATAATTATAAAAAGGAACACCCAAAATTAGATTATAGTGCCACACTGCCCAAACCTGACACTGCACCTGACGTACCCTGAACTCAGCCGTCACGAGGCTTGCGGTTTAGGGTTTAGGGTTTGGGTTTGTGGGTTTGCCGTAGAGTGGCGCATAAGCGGAAGCACCAAGCGACAATGCAAGTTCGAGTGCGTCGTAGTTTGACCATTCGCTGCTGGAGCCCCGGCTGTGGAAGGCTTTTTTCTCTCTTCCACCCCACGCCAGGCAGCCAAACCACCCAAACCTATTCCTTTTAGGGTTTTTAGCTCTAAACTCATTCCAAGGTTCTCTGCTTCATTTCAAGCTCGTTCGTGCAGGGCCAGGGGCCAGGGGGCAGGGCTCGAGGGGTACCCCCCCCCAAAAAAAAAAGCCCAGCACCATCCAGCATGAAGATGTCTGTTCCCTTTAAAATCTGCAACTTTTTTGCATTTCGGATTACCGTCTCCCAGTTTTCTGAACACTCTTGTAAGTCAGCCCACAAAGCACCAGTATCTGTACGCAGCTGTAAAACAGAAACCGAGGCATCAAGGCCGAAGGGCTCGGAACCGCCGACGGTAAACCTTATTGAAACCCTCATCGTTTAGGGTTCAGGGAAACCTTAAACGTTAATATAGAAGCCTATCTAAAAACCAATATTATTGTTAGGGTTCCTTATTGTGAGTATACTATAAAGGAGCCCAAAACCCTATTCTAATCATCCAGGCCAGGCCCTACATTACTGAAACCCTACTCGATGCTTTTTCAGGCTCCGGCTGTTGCACGCCTTCGTCCCACGGCACTGCCCATCGATGCTGCGGCCCGCAACACAAGTGGAGATCGGGTTGCAGAAGCCATCCTCCAAAACCCCAAACTGCACGGACCAGATTTATTCAGGCTGCTATTGTATTTCAGGGACAGCTATCGAGATGGAGTTCAAAACAGGGGCTGTTACAGGAGAGCCAAATCCACAAAGCACGAGCCGAAGCCCCATCTGACGTCAGCCAGTTTTATGAGAGCGCTTGCAACCTGAAACATACTTCATGGAACACCGCCCTTTTATCCAAAGCCCGAGGCCGTGGGCGCTGAGTTGAATCGGACATGGCAGTCCTTGATCGGCTTGTCACCGCAGTTCCGGGTACCTGCTTCCGGCTCGCGGGTTCGGGTCTGTTGCGGTTCAGGATTTGGGGTTTGGGGCGTTGGGGCTTCGAGCTTGGGATGCTTCGGAACCCCTAATGTTCAGGGTTTAGGGTTTAGGGCCTAAACCCTAAACCGTATGGAGCTTTAGGTTTTGAGGGCTTGAGGGTACAAAGGCTTCCGGGCTCTAGGGCTGGGGGCACTCTTGTGCCATGCCAGTTGTTCGTATCAAAATCACATTGCTGTAACAACCCTGCCGCAGTGTTGTCACAAGGAATTGGGATCCTTTAGGTTTTAGGGCTTAGGGTTTAGGATTTAAGGTCAGGCTGCTAAATTAGGGTTTAAAAATTGGGGTTCAGGGATGATACTTGGGATCATTGGCGCTCTCCTGGATATCAGTCGTTTGTAGATTTCTAATTCTGTCAGCGCAGAGTTTGACAGGCCGATTCCAAGTTGAGCTGACCCCCTGGCCCCTATATACCTTAAGCCCTAATCCCGAAAGACTGACAATAACCTAACCCCAAACGCTAAACCATCCCTAAAGACTGAACCCTAAAACCTAAACCCTAAACCGAAACCCTAAAACAACCCCCAAAGGCAGAATCCGACATGGCCGTCTAACTTATAGAAACACCAAGCACACTTTCCGGTGGGACTGCTGAAGATAAGATATCTGTGGTTCTTGTGGAGCCGAGCGTTTAAGATATTTAGGGTCTGTTTCTTTCGGGTTTAGAGCAGAAACCGGAACGTTGGAACATAATTGTCCTAGTGCACTTAAGGTAAAGTGTAAAGTATATGGGATCCTAGCACTANNNCATCCTAAAACCATGCTCCAACTTTCAGGTTTAGGGTGACTTCTAGAACCTCAGGGCAGTTGTCCGTAAAGCCATTCTGCCAAAACAGAAGGAACCTCGTGGATACCCCAAGGACAAAACAAAAAGGGTCGGGGGTTTCAGAGCTTTCGGGCTTTAAGCCTCGAGGACTCAGGGTACTATCCGCACAGCAAAGTTATCAGACCCAAAAAGCTTGATATTACTAATGTAGGGCCTAAATAATTACGACTAGTATTTTTTTCTTGTTGGGGGGGGGGGGGGGGGNNAAAAAAATGGGCCCCAAAACCCTATTCTAATTATTAAGGCCCCTACATAACAATTCCATCCGAAGACCTCGGCCACACAGCCCTTCCCGGTAATGTAGAGGCATTCTTAATTAGATCTAGCATTCCTGGGCTCTGTTATGGTATCATTCCAAATAAGGGACCCGAGGGCGCAATATTCGTCATTATGTAAGATTGGGGCCTTAATGAAACAGGGTTTTGGGGTCCCTCAAAAACATAAAGATAACAAGAAGCCCCGAAATAATATAGTAAATTCTTAAGGGTTTCGGTAATACTCTTTCTCCACTCCAAGTGACCAGTGGTGTCCTCTCGGACGCATGCATCCCAGCTCCAACAGAACCTTCAGGGAGTCTAGTCTAATCGATACCGGGCTTCGGGAGTTCTGCACACCATCCATAGCTAAACCCTGAACCCTCAACCCAACACCCTAAACTATAACCGTCTACGAAGAATAAGACCATTACGAACGATTCAGGGCGCCTTTTCCCTGCTCCAAACAGGCTTGGATTAAGACGCGACAATGGAAACTCGCGTCGAGTCCCTCACTGGCAGTGAACCTCCCTAAATCCAAAGCCCTGAACCCCTAGATGCTAAATCGTAAATAGCCAGGTTAGATCCAAACACCCCCAGATTCAAAGCTCTGAAATCCTAAACCCGACTCCTAACGCAACTTCAAAAACCTCAAACTCTGATCCCTCAAACCCCCAAAACCCTCAGACCTTACCCTAACCCCCCAGGTACCTACTATATAGGGTACTAGAGCCCCTAGGGCCCTATATAGTAGGTACCTGGAGGGTTAGGGTTACAGAAGCAGACCCCCAGCTACCAGCCGAGCAGCTCCGCGTCCGAGCAGTCGGTGTGCTTGAAGCATCCTGCAAGAGGAGACGTGTCAGCTGCGCTTCGTAGGGTTTAGGGTTTAGGGTTTAGGGTTTAGGGTTGAGGAGACGTGTCAGCTGGGCTTCGGGTCTAGTGCTTAGGGCTTTGGGTTTATGGTTTAAGGCTTCGGCTTCGGCTTAGGGCTTAGTGGATTATCATCATCGTCATCGTATTTCTCATCATCTCAATCACCGCCGCCATCATCGTCATCGTCGTGCGTTTTGTCATCATCTGCAGCACTGCCATCATCGTCAGCACTACCATGGCCATCAACGTCACTGTCGTCCTGGGAAGCATTGATACCGTTATCATATTCATTGCGACCATCACCGTCCCTAGAATCACAATGTGGCCGGCATTGTTACTGCGACTTCTGCCAGTTTCATTTCAGGCATGTGCGACCCACGTAGTCATAGCGCGTGGTTATCATTAACACAGCGAGGGAAATTCCACGCGTCATGGAATACCACTGCAGCTATCTGTGGTCGTACTCTTGCTATCACAGGTACTGCTGCACCTTTCCTTCCTCTTGCTGCTACTTCTGGTACCACTTGCTACTTCTCTTGCTACTGCTGCGCTACTGCCATGCTGCTGGTTCTGATGGTGGTGGCTTCCTCTTCGAGCGACTGCTGGCACTGCAGCTGCTGCTGATAACGCTATGTACTGCCACTGCTGCACCCGTTGGTGTTTCATGGTGCTTCTTATGCGTAGCACTACCAAGGATTGTGGAATGCTCTTGACTCTAAAGCCGGCCTTCGTAGAGAGGACATGTGTCGGAGACGCCGTCGTTGGCGACCGAGCAAAACACACGCCGCTCACAAAGCCCGCCGCGTCCTTGTCAGGGTTCGAAAGATCGTGTCAACTAATTTCGGGTAATTACCTCTACTATTTTAGGGGTTCCTTATTATAATTACAGTATAATGGGGCCCCAAAACCCTAAGTAACTAAGGGAACCTAGACAGCGTCCGCTCAGCATCATGTCAGGGAGTCAATGCCTCAGTTTAACCGTGGGCACACCCCGCCGGATCCTACCTGGATGATGTGCTCCGGCCTAGAGTTTCCGATGATCTACCTTCTGTTTCATCTCCTGGATCAATATGGGAGTTTCCGAAAACAAGGGGTGCCTTATTTTGCGGTCCTTGTAATAAGGATCCTACTATTATTTGTGGTACTATATTAGGGTCCCCTATTTTCCGAAACGCCCATATTACTTGGATTCGTGGTGCGACGGTGGGACAAAGAGTTTAAGCACCGGTTCAGGCTTTAAAGTTTGCGGGGCTAAAGTTGTATCTTTCCGTGCAGCTGGCGCTTGTCCCTTATATTCTTTTTTCCCGGCGACCTGCTCTGCCCAACTTGTGGCTCCAACAACCCCATCGTTCGGTGTTCAAGCAGTACGTAACCGGAAGGTGAACGACGGAAACGTTAAAGATCCAACCCTTTCCCGGACTCCATTCCCCGAACATCCCTCCTGAACCCTAAACCCGAAACCCTAAACCCTGAACCCCAAACCCTGCACCCTGAACCCTAAAGGGTTGCCCCAAAACCCTACACCCTAAACCCTGAAACTTTAGCCGTGCCCACCCTACGACCGTATCTCGAACCCTAGGCTCACGGAGCTCAGAGACTCCAACATGCCTTGATGAAGGAATCGACCTTGAATGTTTAGGGTTTAGGGTTTTGGGTTTGGGGTTTAGGGCTTAGATCATGAACCCCAATATATGACTAAGGTATATTCCTATAATCCAGGAATAGACCTTAACTTAGAATAGGAACCCCAATACCCTGTAAAGGCTATTCCGTCGTTTAGACTAGGAATCCCAAGACGTTCTTAAGTTCATTCCTTAAATTAGAATAGGCACCCCAATGCGATTTAAGGTATATTCCTTAATCAATTACAGCAGAGGCCCAAAAGTTGGAAACCCAATCGCCTCAATCCTTAAGAGTGATGCATGGGTAATCCCAGCACTATTTGTCCTTAATCCGGTTTCAAACTTTTTGGGGTTTACTGTAGGGGGTTTGGGAGTCTCTGGGGACTTGCCTGTTGGGCAGTAGCCGCAAGGCCAGTAGACGCGATGCTCCGGCGGCAAGCTTTCACGGTAGGCTGCGCACTTCTCACAGTCCATGCAGTACCTGGTTCTAGGCAGGCTAGAGTAGCTAGAGTGTGAAGTATGCCCGTTTGTTACGAAGGTGCCATTTCGGACCATCTCAACCCCCCCACAGTCCCCATACAGCCGAGGGGGGGGGCTCGGTTCCCGTCTTCGTCCAAGGTTAGGGTTCAGGTTGTAGGGTTTAGGGTGTAGGGTTTAGGGTTCACCCTACGGGTCCATGTAGTTATATAATATCATGTATACTTATTGGCCTTCAAGGGTTCCCACATTAGCACTTTAGGGCACATGTGTAGAATATAGATGCATGAACCCTTAAAGACAGGAGTAGGAGTTTGGGGGTTTCGGATTTCGGGCGCGACGTGTTGGGAGCCAAGTCGCATGTCCGAAATCCGAACACGTCTTACACAAGTCTGCAACCCGAAAGTCCACCTGGTATCTGAAACCAAAACCCAGACAGTTTAATGAACCGGAAGACAATTTATGATCGGATGATAGTTTTTTGTGTCATAGCCAAGTGGCTGGTCGGGGCGGCATTGAATGTTGGCATCGCAGCCCTTCTGCAGCGGACAAGTGTTGTCGATGCCGTCGTTGGCCTTTCTGCCGAAAGAGCTGTGTATGGTGGACGGTTTCGGGCTTACTGCAGAGCCAGTGACAGTCCAGGATGTTGCGAGATGTCCATACTGCCATGAAGAGTAGCAAATTAGGGTTTAGGGTTTAGGGTTTAGGGTTCGGCATCTGAGTTCTCATGTTCAACAGTCATTGCCGGGGCAGCTGCTGCAATAGTAGCAGCAATAGCTGCAGCAGGAGTCGACATAGTCGTTGTGTGAGCCGTAGTGGCGGTAGTTATTGGTAGAAGATCCCCATACCCCAAAACCCTAAACCACTAAACTCCTAAACCAAGTCCCTGCTGTTCATGTGCGGGGCTTCTGCACACCGGCCCTTCCCCTGGAACACAACGTCATGCTTCCAGGCTGCAACCCAGGAAGAAATCCCTCGCCTAGTTCCTTCTTCATCTTCTTCTGCGTCGACTATCTATTGCAGCCGCTTGCATGGTTAGTATCATGAGGTTTATAACTGCAAGGCTTTTGCATATCGACACGCAACAATGGAGGTAAACTGTGTGGCCAATAAATCAATGCAGGGTCGTTATTCAAGTAACAGTAGGAAGTTCATAAAGTTCGAAGCATGCAGAAACAAGACGTTACAGGGCCCATACCTGCTCAGCAGCTCTGGGTAACATTGCAAGTTTTGGTAAGTTGGACTATAGCTGCAAGCTGTTGCCCTCTCTAACTCAGGGACCCTAACATCGGCAAGCCCATTTCAGTTTGGGTTTCCACCAGGCAGACAGGAGGCGATCTGGCAGATGCTTGCAGGTTCGCAAATCCCGCCGCCCACTGTGGGGCAAGGCTCACATGGCCACCTCGGAACAGAGCTTAGGAATTAATTAGGGTGCAGGGTTTACGGACGGCGTAGGCTCAGACACGTAGCAAAGTACTTTCAATCCTAGACCCTCCACCCGAAAGCCAACTGGCACACCCTCAACCCCAGACCCTTAACACCAAGATCAAATAGCAAAAAGCCCAAAAGCCAAAGCTTAACTGGAACGCCAAACCCGAAACCCCAAAAGAACTAAATCCTATACCCTACACCGTAGAGCCGAAAAGCCCCAAACCCTAAATAAACCTATAAACCACTAAATCCTACCCCCCGCCAAAACGTCGAAGCCCTGGACCTGGAACCCACTAGTGTAGGGGCCTAAATAATTGCCAACACTAATTTTGGGGTTTCTTATTATAATTATAGTATAAGATACCCCCAAACCCTATTCTAATTATTACGGCCCCTATGTTAAACCGAGACCGGTTGCTTGGGACGCTCGCTCTCCGGCAGGGAGTTCCGGAAAGCCAGGCAAAGCTCGCAGCTTTCACAATACTCCTCAGATCCAGGCTCCATTGGGTTTGGGGCTTCGGCCTTGGGTTTTTTGGTTCAGGGTTGAGGGTTTAGGATGTGGGGCTTTGGGTTTAGGATTTTGGTTTAGGATTGAGGGTTTACGGTGTGGGGTTTCGGATTGTTGGTTTCGGATGATCGAATGGCTATCTGTTGAGGCATCCTTTTACAAAACTGAGCATGCTTGCAAGAGCTCTACAAGGTTGCATATGGTTTAGGGCTTGGAAGCTATAGGTTTAGTGGCTTAGGTCTTGGGGTCTAGATTTGGGGTCTCAGTTTTAATTGGCTTACGGCTTTCTGAAGGTGGAAAAAACTTGTCCCAGCAGTAATCAATCAGTGGCTTGCTTTCGGCTGGAGTTTGGTTGCTTAAGATGTAGAGTTTGAAGGTTTCGGCTCTTGAACAAGTTTCTGACGGGCTCTTGTCTGTCTGGTTTGGGGTAGCTCGAGGGCTTCGCGGGTTGAGGGCTCGAGGCTCTATGCCGCCCATCCAGGAGCCCTCCAACAGGCCCAAGCATTCAGTCTCAGACCCGTAATTTGCAACACGTCAATATGAAATCCCATAAGACCCTTCTGCAGCCCTTCTGAAAGCTCCTGTAGTAGTAGAAATAACCCCAGCCTAAACCCTTAACCGCCGAAAAAACACAAACACACACACACACACACACCCGCCCGCGGGCACATACTGTTTTAGGCTTCTCCGTGCCGGGCTGCGCCCTCCTGGCAATCGGAGTGCCGCGCACAGCCAGGTTCCTCTGGGCAGGATCCTGCAGTCGAAGCTGGGACCGGCGCTAGGGCTTTTGAAGGATTACCTGGGCCCTGTAAAACCTACGCTTTTTGGGGCTCCTTCTGATGATTTCCTTATACGAGCCCGGGCCCTTAAAAATGGCAGGTTGTTTGGGGTTGAAGTAGGGTTTAGGATTTTAGGGTCGGTCTGAGGGTAAGAGTGTCGGGCTGTAGGGTTGGGAAGGTTTGGCAGCATGCTCCTGCGTAAGTGGCTCCAGTTGGGCTTAGGACCCTAGGATTAGGGGTTCTGACTGAGAAATAGGGTTTAGGGTTTAGGGTGTAGGGTTTAGCCCAACGACTCCTCACTTCATGGCACGGCGATAATGGAATACAATTGACTACAATATCCTGATATAGTTTAACACACCATAATATACAATAACATACCATGATATACGAGAACATACTATAGCTTCTATAATCTACGATGATGTGTGTATATATATATAATCCGACCCTAACAGCTCTACTACCGGACATTGCTGTAGCACATACTGCAACAGACTGGCGCAGCATTGCCTCCATATTATATGGCCACATAGGATGCTATCAATGATATAGGTGCCCCAGTCCTGAGATTGAGTCCTGACGGAGGGGGCACCACCAAAGTTTCGAGCAGAAGCCGCCTTTCCTGGGTTCTGCTACGGCTTAAGGTTGAGGCTGCAGGCTATTAGAGTTTAAGGTTCAGGATATTAGGGCTGGAAGGGATTGGAGTTTAGGCATATTAGGGTTTGGGGTTCAGGATAATAGGGTTTATAGGGCTTAGAGTTTCGGGATTTAAGGGTTTTGGGTTCAGGCTATCGGGGTTGATAGCGCTTGGAACTAGTTCCGGGATGTTGGGGTCTTAGCGTTTAGGGTTCAGGATCTTATTAGGGTTCAGGGCATTAGGGTTTGAGGTTTACGGTTTAGAGTTCGGGGGGGGTGTGGCGAGGGTGAAAGAGTCAGGGTTTAGGTGTGGGCGATGCGGCTGACGACGATGATGATGCTGACGTGGTGGAGCACCCGGGAAGCACGCGAGACACATGTCCAAAAGAACAGCTCACCCTTGCAGCAAATATCATCTCTTGAGATAAGTTCGGAATGGATACCCATTAAATCTCAAGCAGTGGTCTAGGCTTTGTTAGCCCTTTGAGTTTATCGGGCTTGGCCTTTATTTAGGGTGTAGCGTCGATGTGTGGTTCCAAGTGGTTTCTGCTGCTGTTATGGTTGCCGCTGTTCCTGCTTCCATGAGCACACGCGGAGCCTGCTGCACTCTCAGAAACGATCCGAATTTCGCACCATAGGACCAGGAGTCTCAACAAGTCCTTAATGAAGCAGTACACCTGAATGGTTTAGGGTTCAGGGGTTTTGGGAAATTTTTGATGCAAGGCGTGTTGCTCAACTGCCACATTCTGGAGATTCTGGGCACGACATGCGCCGTTCATCCAAGCTTCTCGGTGGGGCAGGGCTCACAGCGCCAGATCGTCTCATTCGTTCCTGGACATCTTCCCTAATTCCTAAACCCTCTTAGCCTGAAGGGGGCGTGCCTAAGTCGATAGGGGCTGCGTGCCTAAGTTGTTGGGGGCTGCAGGCTGCACGTCGTCCCTCGGCATAACAAAGGACGGTGCGCAAGAAGGTTAGGTAGGCAGTCATAGTCTTCGTCGTAGTTTTCGGCATGGGTGCAAGTGTGTATGTGTGTAACTGTGTATGTATGCGTGTGAATGCATGTATGTATGCACGCATGCATAAATGTACGTACCATGTCTGGGTTATGTGTGGATTCCTTACGCAAATGTGTATGCATGCTTGCACGTGTGTGTGACTGTGTGAGTGTGAGTGTGAGTGTGAGTGTGAGTGTGAGTGTGAGTGTGAGTGTGAGTGTGAGTGTGAATGTGAGTGTGAGTGTGAGTGTGAGTGTGAGTGTGTGTGTGTGTGTGTGTGCGTGTGTGTGTGTGTGTCTCTATGCCTGCGTGCATGTACTTGCGTGTGTGTGTGTGTGTGTGTCTGTGCCTGCGTGCATGTACTTGTGTGTGTGTGTGTGCTCATGTGTCTATGCTTACACACGCATGTATATATATATATATACACATATATATATATATATATGGGTAGTTGTCAAAATTATGGTCCCTTTGGGGGTTCCCTAAATAATAGGTGCCGTATTATAATAAGGACCCAAAAAGGGACCATAATTTTGACAACCACCCATATATATATATATCTATCTATCCACGCATACATATACATATATAACTATACAAATTGTTTATTTATTATGTAAATTTATGACGATCATGGAATGTCATACTATACTACACATGCAGCTCTTCGGTTTTATGCAGATACGGGACACTACCTCGAACCGATCAAGAAACAACCTGCTGATATCCACAAGCCCTGAGACCCCAAACACAAGCACACGTATCGCACAATCACTGAGGTCCCGTCCATGGGTCTTGATATACTCCTGGCATTTGCTGCAGGAGTAGCAGTACTCGGTGTCTTCGCAGTCGCTGTGCTGACTGCATCCGGGATACTTCGTGGGGCACTGTCCTGCGGCGAGCAAGGCTTAGGGTGTCAGGATTGCCAAACCCCCAACCTCACAGCTCTCAGCTACAGAGCATCCGGGAGGGCTTCTCATGGAAACGCCTGGCTGTATGGATGAAAGCTCGGCGTAGCGGCATGATGCTGCAGGGAAAAGATTGAAGGGACCCTTCAACCTCCCACTGTCATCCTTCTGCCGGATCTTGCGCCACAGTGCAATACCTGGGCTTCGCGGGAGGTGCCGGAGACTCGAGCTTAGGATCCGCTTTGCGGAGTTCTTGCAACGTCATCTCGAGGGTTTTGTGCAGACCTCCTGGTCTTCTGAGGGGAACCCTGATGCAGAACACTCCCAGCTGACTTTTGTGCAAAGCTTGGGCAGGTCACAGGCTTGAAATCACGATTCAGGGTTTAGGGCTAGATCCTGCATCAACAACTCTGGTCCTGACGCCCTTGTCAGTTTATCGTTCTCACCATAAGCACCGTCATGCTCATGGCAGTCCTCGTCCCGGAACTGAACACGCACAATTGACAGCAAGAGCACAGCCGCAGGACCACTACCACTGCCCCTACTGCACTTGTTGCTAAGAGTGATTAGGACTTACAGTAGTAGCAGCAACAAAACTAAGAGTAGTACGACTTATAGTAATAGCAGCAACAAAACTACGACGACGGCGACAACGACCATCACCACGACTCCAAGTGACCATCTGACCATCTACCCATCATCTGCGCTATCATGACGCATCCATGTGGGCAGTTTTCAAAATTAGGGTCCCTTTTAAGGTCCTCTCTACGAGGGTGCCGTACTTTTTTGGGGGCCCAAAAAAAGGGACCCTGATTTAGAGAACTACCCATGTGAAGGTTTCCGAGTGTTTCTGTTATAAGGCCACCGCATGGCTACATGCTCACAGTACGAAGGACGGCCAATGCCCCCTCATATCATGTATCGAGAAGTCCCCGCACCAAACGCGACCCGGATGCTTCCCAGACTCACAAATGTTCGCGCCATCTTGGCACGGATCGCAGGTCCACCGCCTGCTTCTGCTGGTGTTGTATTGAGCTGTAACAGGGCCCACCCGAAAACTCAACAACTCACAGCTTGATGCCTAAACCTTACAGGTGTCAAGATGTTAAACTATGCACTTGCAGCAGAAAGCCCGACCGGACTGTGCAAAATGCATCGCGGTCTGCAGAATACACTTCCGATGTACGGATTCTGAATACCTAGAGTCTCCATTCTAGTTCCTGTTTCTGGCTGCCCTGTATAGTCCGAACTATATGTATATACGGTTGGTTAGACCAAAAAAAGAACCGAAATGGAGACTCTAGGTATGTGCCGTTATGATGAGGGTGACTGCTAGTTTCACTCTATGTTCCTATTCTTGTATCTCATCTTACTATATTGAAAATATTACTGTATTGCAACTATCAACACTTCCGATGTCGGCAATACAAGGGCCTCAATAATTAGAATAGGGTTTTGGGGCCGATGGTACTATAACTGCAAGCAGGAAGCCCCAACAAAGTATAGGTAGTAACCCTAAACCCCCTAAAAGCTCAACCCTGGACCCTCAATCCGAAAAACCCTAGACCCTAAACCCTAAGACGTATTAAGGCCCCTATAACCCTAAACCCTGAACCCTAAACCCTAAACCCTGAACCCTAAACCCTGAACCCTAACCCTAAACCCTAAACCCATTAGTATGTCTTTGAAGCTCTTGGGTTGGCTCGCGTGCCTCTGGGTTTCCTGTGGAAGCGAGGCATGGTACTCGCCGCATTTGCTGCAGCTCCTAGGAGGCGTCAGAAGTGTAGCTTAAAGGCTCTTTATTACCTTGCTAAAATTATAACTTCTAGTACCCCTAATTTCAAAAAAGGCTAATCCTAAAAATGATAAAGCTATAAAGTGACTGTAAAGTTCAACCAAGATAGGGTTTAGGGTTTGGGGTTTTGGGTTTAGGGTTTGGGGTTTAGGGTTTGGGGTTTGGGGTTTCTGGTTTTGGGTTTAGGGTTTGGGGTTTAGGGTTTGGGGTTTAGGGTATATATGGTTTGGGGTTTAGGGTTTAGGGTTTGGGATTTAGGGTTTGGGGTTTCGGGTTCAAGGCTTGTGATTCTCGTCCCTTTGCCCCTCAGCATCCAACTGCGTCGTGAAAGACTAGGGCAGGTGATCCTTTTCGTGGTCCACCTTTCTCAACTTAGAGCCCCCGACTACAACACAGGTTACCTGGCTCGACTATATGGAAGCAGAAAGTTTCAGGGGTTCCACTGTCCGGCAGTTTAGGCGATTTGGGCTTCGAACCCCCCCTAAACCCTAAAGCCAAAACTGGGGTTTGGGTTCTTTTTTTTGTTTAAGGTGTAGGGTTTTAATCCTCAGCCCCAACCCTCAAGCCCTGAATTTACACTTCTTCCCGTCTGCCTGCCCCACCTCTACTCTGGCCACAGACCTACCCCTGCACACACCCTGGAAACGCATCCGGATATGAAGCCCTAGGCCAGGTCTTGAACCCTAAACTCTAAATTCAGGAACAAAGCCCTAAACCTTAATAAACACCCTAAATTCAGGAACAAAATGTCCACCCTGAAGCTGAGTTCAAGCCATGGGTCATGCAATATCGGTTCGGACCACAGTCAGCTGTACTGGAGCACCGCTCTTCTTGAAGCCTCCTGTGATCCTTCCAAACCTTGGAATTTGGCTTTGGGGTTTAGGGTTTAGGGTTTCAGTTTCAGGGTCCAGAGCTTTTGAGTTTGGGGTGCGCCCAGTTTCTGGCTCCTAACCCCTACCCCCTAAACCCCGAAAGCCCTACACCCCAAACCCCCTCAAAAAAGCCTAACATGAAAGCTAGCTCAGTGGGATCTTCGAAAAGAGGCCCCTGAATCCAGGGACCCCAAAACCTAACAAAAAGCTAAAACCCCAACTAATGCCCTCCGACATGCAACCGTGGGAGCCTCGCAGTGTAAGGCTTTACTTAGATTAAGGTGTTGGGTTGAGGGCCTGAGCTCAGGGTTTCAAACGGTTTAGGTTTAAGGTTCAGGGTCTAGGGTGTAGGGGTTACTTCTTTGTTTGTATGACTGCCTATTTACTTACCCACCCTTATTTCTCTGTCCATGAAGGTTTTTGAGTATGCTCACCACCATTTAAACATATACACATACATATACATATCTGTATTTACGTATGTATGTACGTATCTATGTATGTATGCATGTATGGGTATATAAATATATGTGTATATATATATATATATGTATATTACTGTATGCACTCTATTTCTCTACATCTTTTTCTTACATAGCCCGAAGCCTTAAATATGCACTCTGTTGCTTTACATCTTTTCGTACATAGCCCTAAGCCCTAAACCCTAGATTAAACCCTGAACCCCTAACCCTAAACCCTAAACCCCTAACCCGAAACCCCTAA